TTTTTTCCCTTTGGCCAATTCCTTTTTATATGTGCCCACAACAGAGGTGGGGAGACACAGAGCACCCTGGGTCCTTCCCAGCACTGCCGGGCAGACCCTGTCTCCAGGCCCTGGCTCTTGAAACTTTCAAGGGCAACAACTATCCACACTGTTGGACCCTTGGCTGGGCAGGGGCAGCTCATTTCCATCTCGGCCTCCAGACACCCAGCCTGTGTCCCACAAGGATCTCTCCAAGAGGGAGGTATTGAGGCTACTTTTCTGCCAACCCCTATTAATTGTAATGTGAGGAGACCCACTGTGTCAGTGCAAGAAGCTCCAGACAAATGTTTTCAAATAAATTCCACTGCCCAGCCTGCACAGATTTCCCTTTGAAGTACTTCCCTTCCACTGTGACACCCAAAGGGTTTTTTTTTAATTTTTATTTTTTTATTTTTTTTAAAGAGACAGGATCTTGCTTTGTGGCCCAGGCTGGAGTGCAGTGACATGATCATAGCTCACTGCAGCCTCAACCTGCTAGGCTCAAGTGGCCCTCCTGCCTCAGCCTCCCAAAGTTCTGTTATAACAGACACGAGCCACTGTGCTTAGCTTATTTTTATTTATTTATTTTTTTTAGAGTCAAGCTCTCGTTCTGTTGCCCAGGCTGATCTTGGACTTGGGAGCCACCATGCCTGGCTAGCTTTTTAAAAATAGAATCTCACTGTTAGCGCACAAGAAACAGATGCAGCCCCTGCTTCCATATCAGTCCAAGGAGCCGTTGTGTTTGCCACCTTTCCTTTGAACCTCCCCCCCGCCCCCCTGCCTGGGTCTGCTTTTGCAGCTGAATGCAGCCATGTCAAGCAAAGAAAATCAAGAGGAAGGAAGGCCAGAGAGCCAGGTGGTTCCCTGCGGACGCACGTACAGGCAGTGGAGGCCACCCAGGCAGGCAGAGGACACCAAGCACCCTGTGTTGCTTGTTATTCATGACGTGGTCTTGGAGTATCTGGCTAGATCAGACTCCACGCCACCCAGAAAATACCCCACATGCCAGAAAAGTGAAGTCCTATGAGCTGAAGGGGCGTTTCCATCTGTCCATCTACTAGGCCTCAAGATAAAAAAGATGCTGCCAGGTTTTAGGAGCCATTCTGGTCTCAAAACCATCAGGATCCTGCCACCAGGGTTCTTTTGAAAGAGAATCACATGTAAAAGGGAACTTGGCTTTCACTTCATCTAATCACTGAATTGTCAGCTTTGATTGATAATTGTAGGAATAAGTAGCCTTCTGTTGCGGGAATAAGTTATAATCAATATTCATCTCTTTGTTTTTGTCACTGTTTTCTCTCTAATTGTGTCATTTGTACTGTTTGAAAAACATTTCTTCTATAAAATTAAACTAACCTGCCTTAAGAACAGAGTGGAAATGTGTGGTTTTATGGAGAAAAATATTTAATTATGGAAATGTAAATATACAAAAAAGTGTGTGTTTTTAAGCATAAAAATAGAGGTATAAAATCAGAAAATAGTAAGCTGAACACAGCCCTCATCCAGCTTCAACACCATCAGTCATGGCTGCCCTCAAATCTATCCCTCCAGCCCACCTTCTCCTCTTAGAACTTGAAGCACAGCTTGCTGCTTCATCTTTAAATATTTCAGTATGTAATGCTAAAAGAGAAAAAACACGTAACAACCTTATCACATCTTAGCATGTAATAATGCTTTACTGTTACTGAATAGCCAGGGCTTTCTCTTCCAGTTGTTTTCTGTCATTCTCTTTTCAACTCTTTGAACAGAATCTAAACATGATTCACTTATTGGGATTTTTTTGTCTGTGTTTTTCTTTTTTGGTAATAGTTTTCTTGATAACTACCCACCTAGTGGGTGCCCAGTGGTATCTCATTGTAGTTATTCACATGCCATACAATTCACCCACTTAATGTGTATCATTCATTGGTTTTAGTATATTCAAAGTTGTGCAAATATCACAATTTTTAGAACGTTTTCATCACCCCCCCCAAAAAAAGACTCCAGACTCATTAGCAGTTGCTCCCCATTCTCTGAGAGCACAGCAACCAGTAATCTACTCTCTGTCTGTACACATTTGCCCGTTCTGGACATTTCATATCAATGACATCAAAGAATATGTAGCCTTCGTGTCTGGCTTCATTCACTTAGCATAATGCTTTCAAGGTTCATCCATGCTGTAGCATGTGTTGGGACTTCATCCCTTTTGATGGCTGAATCATCTTCCATTGCATGGATGGGCCACATTTTCTTCATTTGTCAGTTGATGGACACTTTGTTTTCACTTGCCGTTATGAATAATGCTGCTATGAAATTGCACATGCAGGCTTTTGTGTGAATATGTTTTCATTTCTCTTAGGTCTATACCTAAAAGTGGAATCACTGGGCTACATGGTAATGCTATGTTTAACTCTTTGAAGACCTGCCACACTTTCCATAGCAGCTGCACGTTTTCCAGTCCTACCAGCAGTGCACTGGAGCTCCAGTTGCTCCACATCCTGCCCTACACTTGTTGTGTCCTTTTGCTTATAGCCATCTTAGTGGGTGCCTAGTGGTATCTCATTGTAGTTATGTCTGGCTTTTTTTTTAAGATGGAGTCTTGCCCTGTTGCCCAGGCTGGAGTGCAGTGGTGCAATCTTGACTCACTGCAGCCTCCACCTCCTGAGTTCAAGTGATTCTCCTGCCTCAGCCTCTGGAGTAGATGGGATTACATGTGTGTACCACCACAGCCAGCTAATTTTTGTATTTTTAGTAGAGATAGTTTCACCATGTCGGCCGGGCTGGTCTTCAACTCCTGACCTCAAATGACCACCCACCTTGCTCTCCCAAAGTGTTGGGATTACAGGCGTGAGTCACAATGCCCCACTAAGTCAGGTTTTTATTTTGCCTCTACCCTATTTTTTCCCTCTGGTTACAGGTAACCATTGAAAATAGATTACAGCTAGTGCTCGACTTACGACCACGGTCGGACTGCGGACCGGTCGTAACATGATTTGGTCGTAAGTTGAGTAGGCTATATGTACAGTTGAAATGGTGCACGCGGAGATGGTAGTGCTGCCGGAAGCTGGTCCACACTGTCGTACGCCCAGCTGGGCAACGTTTGCGCTGCCAGACGGGGAGCAGTCGTGGCTAGCGATTGTGGTCGTAAAGTCGAATGGTCGTAAGTTGCATAGGTCGTAAGTCGATCAATACCTGTACTGTTTATCCTTGCTTTGTTATTTTAAAATGTAAGTAGTTATATAAACGTGTGTACATGCAGATATATACATGTGTGCATATACACATGTACATATACTTATGACTATACACAAATATGAACACATCTATATTTGTATTTCCCTCCTTTCTTGGGCAAATGGTAGCACAAAAACACACTTCTT